TTTTGGATTTGCCAATCTCTATGATGTTTATGGATTCGTGATTGAGTATCCAATCCATATCTGTTCTTTGTTACATATTTCTATACTAAAGTCTTGTGTTTCAAGGAAACTTCATGGCTGCACCTAGGGTTCTTGTTTGGGAACATTTAGTATCGAATTGAGGGTTGAGTTTGAGGATTATGGTCAATCTTTTCTGTTGCTCTCTAGGACATTGATCTTGATCTCCGCAAAACAAAAAATAGTTGAGCTTGAAATTGCCTGCACTGGACATGTGTCTAGCACAGGACTTTCCTCATTTGTGCATTGACTACTATACTGATATGCAAAGAAAATGAAAATAACCAGATTTGAAAAGGTTTTGGTGTTTTTTATTTGTTTCTTTTAACCAAGTTGAACACTCAAAGCCGAACTAAATGTCATACATTATTCAGGTTACATGATATGTAGGTTCAGGGAGTTTCGAGCAAGCTTTTCAAGGTCCACTTGGGTTGTGAATGTCAACAATTCAGAATGGCTGGTGCGTTGGAGACTCTATGCTGGCAGGCTTATGGAGCAAAGCAATATCAAAAGCTTGGGATTTATACTTATTGTACCATAATTTCCTTGATTCTGGTTTGTCTCCCTATATCCTTTCTATGGATGTTCATAGACAAGCTTCTAATCCTTATAGGCCAAGACCCTTCAATCTCCCATGCCGCTCGCAAATACTGTATTTGCCTCATTCATAACTTATTTTCATATGCTTTCCTTCAAGCACTGATTCGCTACTTCCAAACTCAAAGTTCGATCCTTCAAATGCTGTTTAGTTCATTTACATATCTGCGTGTTTCCATGCACCTCTTTGTTGGGCTCTAGTGTTTAAAGCAGAAATGGGAATTATAGGAGCAGCATTTGCTATCAGTCTAACATGCTGGTTTAAATGATATCTTGCTTGGATTCTTCATGAAGTATTCTTCGGAATGTGAGAAAACTCGTTGTGTGTTCTCAAAGGATGGCTTTTTGAGCCCAAGGGAGCTCTTCCGCTTTGCTGTTCTCTCTGCAGAAATGACTTAGTAATTTCTTTCTCAAATCTTTCAATCAAAACAATGTTTTTTCCCCATCCTTTTTACTATTTGTTTGCAGTAGGGATCTAATATCATCCTCTGTATGCCAATTTCTTTAGTCTTGAATGGTCTTATCAGGTGCTTATTTTGGTACCTAAGCTTTTATTTCTGTATTCTCTTCATGGTATCCTTTCACTTTGCAAGAGGTTTTAACTGGTGTGCTTTTGATTCCTCCAAGTGATTGCTTGCAGCTTTAAAATCACCTATCTGCATTACTTCATTCCTTGTGGGTTAGGGGCCACAGTAAGGTTTTGTTCTAAACTTGTTTATACCTCTATTGCATATACATCATGTAACTGAGTTTTCTTTTTTACTTTTCCTTGTCATTACTCTTTCTGAAGGAAAATTTTGAACCTTTTTGTAGCACCCGGGTTTCAAATGTGTCGGGAGCTGGAAATCCTCAGGCAGCTAAAATGGCTGTTTGGGCAGTAAAGGTTCTTGCAATCACTGAGGGGATTGTTATAAGCACAGCTCTCTTCTTTTGTCGCCACATCTTGGGGTATGCATCCAGAAGCGAGAAGGACATTGTATACCATGTTGCAGATATGGATCCTTTCATTTGTTTGCCAGTTATCATGGACCGCTTGCAACCAGTTCTTTCAGGAAAGTATCGTAGCTTTTTCTCATGCATGTGTTTATTGGGCCAAAATATCTCTTTATCACCTCAATCTAAACTTTGCAATAGTCACCAACAGCTTTCTTTAAATATAGAAGAAAAGAATATAAAGCTGCCTACATTAGTCGATACTGGATGATGATCTTTCTTTCTTGAAATTGCTTAAAGATACGATCATAGTGTGCTTATCTATTCTGCATCAGGGGTTGCTAGAGGAAGTGGGTGGAAGAATGGTGGAGCCTTCGTGAATCTGGTTGGGACACCGGTGCAGCGGTGTTGGCTTTTGTTGTACACCCAAGGGGGAAGGGCCTTTTGATTGGATTGACAACAAGATCATGTGTACAAGGAAGCAACTCTGCTTGCTCTCTGGAGACCAGTTGGCAAGAATAGGTCTAAACTTCTTCATTGATTCGTTTATAGCCTCGCCTTGTTAGAAAGATCAACATGTTAAAGAATCAATGCCACCGTTCATATTTTGGACTGAATTGTTATTCTGAATCTAAATTTCCAATGATTTCTCCTTTCTACTGGCAATTGTCGAAACATCTCTAAGCATGTCAGATGAAACCTGCTCTAATGCTGGCTTGAATTTTTTGTGGATATTAGCATCCAAATCTAGAGATGGGATATTTGAGGAAGACTCGTAAAGTGGATTCAAAAGAGCAAAAATCATCAATAAATCATTGAACTAGAAATTCGTACCTTTAAGATCAATTATATTTTCTTATTCACAAAGTAACTAAATTTTATTTCAGAGATTGCTAACACTTTGAGCTATGATTTGTTCTCATGATAGCTGCAAAAGAAGGATTCATTCATTGTACAGGCACCTTCATATCCTGAAACTAGTTTCAACTAAACATGTCAGCGTTCAAGCATGGCACGTTTCCAATTTACAAATCTGCTTTTGATTCTTCATGCATTTTTCTACTTCCCGTGTCAAGATTTCCAACCTACCTTTTGTCTAGACTCTAGCTACATCGATAATCACTGTGCATGCCCTGTCATCTGCAGTTCAGACTAATGATTCAGTGGGCTGTGAACATCACAAGACCTCAATTCCCTCTACCTGCTAAACTCTCAAAGCCAAATCGGCATCCTCTGTGTGTGCGTGATGGCATTGTATTAGTCCAAGCCACAGAAAACAGAACACAATTGTCATGAGATAATAATCCATGCATGCGTGCGTAATAATCCATGCATGCGTGCGTCAATGTGTCTGGAGATTGTGCAGAGACAGGTTTAACATGTATCAATACCTAAACAAATCTAGAAAAATTCCGTACAACAGGGAGTCAAGTTTATCAGCAGGAAATGACCATAGTTTTCAGATACGAAAGATGGAAAAGGGAAACGCAAAGCAGATGTTTCATACCTTGAATCCTTTTGACGTGTCAGGTATACAGACTGAGATGTAACAATCTGAAATTACTAACCATGATTCAGAAATTTCTTCACAATTGACGGAAAAAGGGCATTATCTCAGAACAGGACACTGTTATCAGCTTGTTTCAATTTTGTAACAGAGAAAAACAAAAGTGGGGGGATCTCAATTCTAAAGTTCCAACTTCAAAGTAAAAATAGAAAACTATAAGCATGTAAATGAGAGACGGGATAATATTTGACCTTATGCACGGGCTTTGGATTTGAGGTCCTCTGACTGCCCGTCCCCTTGGATGAGTCAGATTTTGGTCCAATTCTGGCATCGATTTCATCTAATCCCTGCAGAGCAAATGCATGCATCAATTGGAAGTAAGAGTTTTACTAAATGGAGATAAAATGATGTTCATCATCTGAAACAGATAAAAGTATCAGATACCAGACAACGTTAGAAAACCAGAAATAACGATTAAACTCAGAAGAAAACAGAATAATCATCAAATGATGCTAGCTTGTAGATTGGAGGAAGAGCCTGTCTAGCAATAAGTAGGTATATAATCCGAGTTTGTCAGTGTGTCAATAAAGAATTAAATATGAGACCCGGAGTTATCAGCGAGATAAATTCATAGAGTCAATGGCACAAGAGCCAGCACAGTGGTGCAAAGAATCTAGTTAGATGAGGTAGAGCATTCCAATAACAGGATGACCTTTAGAGTTTGTAGCCAATGAAAATGGCCTACAGTAACGAAGAACTGTTCAGTATTCCAATAGTAATTACATCTTCTGTCAGATGTCAGTATTTTTAGATCCCATCATGCGGATCCATATGGAATCCACAAAAAATGGAATCTTAATGGAGTGCCAGTACAATGGCAGTGCCAGAAATTTTCCTAAATGGAACTTCAATTTCTTGCAATAATGATGGATTAAAGGAAACTGTTACACATCACAAAACAGCCTTACAGCTCTATAATATAAGTTTGCTTATAATGTATAACAATCCCAAGTTCATCCTCAAACGAGGATTCTGCAGAATGAAATGCAGGGAGCCAAAATACACTACTGGACTGATGCCACAGCATCACCTTGTATCATGTCGGATACAATTATATATAGTGCTTGATAAGTTGATTTCTATTTATGTGTTGGTCACTGTATTTTCCTAAATATCATAAGGAAGAGTAAAATAAGATATTTATAAGAAACCATATATTAAAAATTGCATATGCACACACAAAGGAAACACATTTAACAAGAGTGAATCATGGTATTATATAAACATGTGCTGCCTTCAGCCCATTTGCATCATTTTCAGTATCTTCCACAGAAAAACACATAATCTATATATCATCTTCAGGACTAATTCTCATTTCTAGTAATCTATAGGTTTCTGCTAAAAAAGAAAAAGAAGCACAACCTGCGAATAACATTGATTGCTCCTATCGAAAATAGGATCGACTACGGATTCAAGCCATAGCACATGGTTTCAAAAAAGCATATGATTTTCCCGATCTAAATAAAATAAAGCATTTACATGCAGTCAATCAGTACAATAATGAAAACATCACCGTGATGGCATGATCTCTTTTTTATAGATTCTACGGACCATTGCCTGCTGCTTCATCTGGGACACAGGCATTAATATTCAATTACAAGACTATTTTGAAAGCAGTAACCCAAGAAAGGGTTTAGAATCAAAATGATTAGACTAGAAAATATGCACGCGTAACTTGAATATTTGTTGAAAAAATCGAATTCAGTTCTAATATCTTAAATGATCATTTAAAATGCAAAACTTATTAGCAGAAGCAATTGGCAATATCCATCTGCCATCCACTCGGAATTGGAAAAGTTTAAAATGCTATAAACCCTCAAGAAGAGAGGTCCAATTATGATGCATTACACGACTTTTGGTCTCTGGCTCTCAGATTCTCTACTCTTTGGAAGACTATGGTGGCCACTCAACCCCAAAGACCTCTGACCAAATCCATCACAGCTCCTGAAAAATTATCCAAATTTAAAACCTGATGCGAGAAGAAGAGAGAGAGGTCTTATGCAACATCAAACCTGTTATCTACACTGAATTTTCTCAAATGACTAATGGCGGTCATCACTTTCGAACTTCTCTGCATATATAAATGCAGATGAACAATCAGTGAAAATCATTAACAAGCAGAGAACACTGGAGTGTCCAAGTGAACACAGACCAGATGATCTACCTGAGCAGGTCAAGTGAGAGCTGATGATGTTCCTGGTAGCGTGTCTGACAAGCTTTTGGGAGTTGAATGTGTTTTAGGTGGACCACCTCTAATATTAGAAGACAGTGAGACTATTTTGCCCTTTGTTAATGAAGCATGAAGAACTGTTGCACTTGATTGTACTTCCCTACTTTGTCTATGTGATTGAACCTGGTCATATTTTTTGTTGCTTGCGGTCTTGGTGGTAATTATTTTGCCTGAAACAAGAATAACATCTGCCTTGCTTGTAAATCCTTACAAAAAGATGGCTTTGGCTTCTCGGATGGCTTAACCACATCTTTGCTCATTCTGCAGTCCGATTTTGTTCTGTTTGCAGCAGAAACAACAGTCCCCTAGTTGAGAACGCAATTTAAAATTGATAATTAGGATATTGGTATTAGTAATTGATAGCGCAATCAAAAAGCCTTGCACAAATTGCAGAGAACATAGAAAAGTCATATAAGCTTTAATGTGACAGGAAAACATTTCAATATCATGGCAGACTATGATGGCAGTGTAACAATCACAACAACTACATGCAACACAACACACTTAATAGAGCTTATTCAAGAAAATAAAAGCAAGGGGCTAATCAGGCAGGTAGGGGGGAATTGGTTTTGTCCATAATGGCATGTAGTCACTCTCTTGACACGCCCCTCACCGCCTCACTCTTGGGTTGAGTGGCCTGCAATCCACTGTGATTGGATAGCAAGATAAGGAAATGAGAGAAATATAACCAAGAATATCTTTCCTTGTTTCACGGTGTTTGGTCTCCGGGCCTTCCAATCTCCACATGATTCAAAGCAGATGATCAACAGATCTTCATATATCAGAAACTAGCAACCATGCATGAAGAAACAAGCTCTTTAGGTATTTTGCATGCAGGATAAAAATACCTTCAGAGAACATAGATCAGAAGCCAATCCCTTAAAATTAATGGGCTTGATATGCGGGTTTAAAAAGAAAGTAATTACAACCTACATGAATTATCAACCCTGGCATTGGTAGAGGGGTGACCTGGAATGAAACGTTAATTGTTTACCTTGACCCTCATACTAGATGCCTGCTTCTTCAGTGTGCCTCCATTGTTCTTGTTTTCATTGCTGACTGGGCTCCCTTTCTGTCTAGTTTTGGAACTGCTTTTTACCGATGGAGTACATGACGAGGAACCATCTTCCATAGAATATTTTGGTATTCTGGCAGAAAAGCATACCCCTATTTCATCTTCTTTGCCAGCTCCACCACTGTTCCCATTAAGGTAACTTTCGTCTTCTACTCAATCATTAATGCCTCTCCTAGATGCGTTAATATTACCAGTGGTATGATTATCTAAAATCTGGATTTTATAGACATTGCTAAGCTTGTTTTCTTCTTTTGATCTTTGAACATCAGCACCATCATCTTCCTGACTAGTATTGCTAGGTTTACTTTCCTTTTTTGATGCTTCAGTATCAACACCATTTTCTTCCTGTGTAGTAATCTCCTGTCCATTTTGATAGGAATCAGTTTGAGTAGTTTCTTGCTCTGCTTGCAATCCCTTCATAGCTCTAATTTTTTTATAGTATTCCTCTAAGTATGCCTTCTTCTGAGCAACTAATTCTGGTGCCTTGAATTTCTCCAACTCCTCCTGACATCTGTTGTGGGAGAAAACAGAATATTTTTCCCATGCAAGCGTGTCTGAATTGTATCTTCCAAAAGATATCGAACTGCAATCCAGAATTTGAGAGATGGATACATCCTGTTGAAAGCTAAGCTGATTACTTGTGGTTGAAGTCTTAGAAAAAGACTATGCAGACTATAGCAAATAGCAAGAAGAATGAAGAAATGGAAGGAATTCTGTTAAATCAGTTAAAGAGATAATTAAAATAGTTATGGCAGTTATAAACGGTTTTTACTGTTACAAATCTATTATAAATCATTTCTTACATGTGTAAGAATAGCAACCCTCCATTAATGGATGGATGAGATCATCTTGGTTTCTAAAATAATAGAATCAGTCTTGGGAGAAGACATCAACCTTTTAGTCGTGTCACTCGGGGAAGTAGTCAAGCAAGTATAAAGCCATAGTGTCAAATCTGTCAGAAGCAACACTTTGGATTATGCATATATAAAGGAAAACCAAGATATGGAAGATGCAATCAGTTTGGCCATATTGCAAAAGATTATGAGAGTCACAGACACAAACAACTAGCAAATTATGCAAAAGAAGAGAGAGTTACCATTAGAACCATGTTCTATGCTTGCCATTTTGCAATTCTGCAAGATGGAAAGGTATGGTTTGTGGATAGTGCCCGCTGCAACCACATGACATCTCAAGAATCTGAACTAATCAACATCGATAGAATAGTAACCTGCAAAGTAAAGATGGGCTCAGGAGAACTTGTGCAAGCAACTGGAAAAGGCACATTGGTTGTGGACACTCAGCATAGGAAAAGATATATAAAAGAGGTACTGCTTGTTCCTGGATTAGATGAAAATCTATTGAGTGTAGGCCAGATGACAGAGCATGGTTATCATATTCTTTTTGGAGGTAACAAAGCAGTAATATTTGATGATGAAAACCTCAACAATGTTATAACAATAGTGATCATGGGAGGAAGTTGATGCTTTCCACTTTCACTTGAATCCATCACACCTGCAGTAAGGAAAACTTTAGTGACTGAAGACTTTTGGATATGGCATAGAAGACCGGGACACTTAAATTTTGCTACCATGAAAAAGATGCAGCAAAAAGAGATGGTATGGGGACTTCCTGTTCTGATAGAAGTAGAAGATATATGTGCAAGCTGTGCTTCAAGTAAACATCACAGGGAGAAATTCGATAAAGAGCAAGCATGAAGAGCAAGCTATGTACTAGAATTAATCCACACTGATCTATATGGACCAATGCAGAATGAATTTGTGGGAGGGAACATATACTTCATCACATTCATTGACAACTACTCAAGAATGTGTTGGGTATACTTCCTCGGAAACAAATCTGATGCACTCAATGTGTTCAAGAAATTTAAAGCATTTGTTGAGCTACAAAGTGGATATAAATTGAAGAAACTAAGAAGTGACAGAGGTGGTGAATACACCTCAAATGAGTTTGAAGAATTATGTGTAAAATAAAGAATGGAGAGGCAGCTAACAATTGCATACTCTCCTCAACAAAATGGAGTTACAAAGAGGAGAAACAGAACAATCTGTGAAATGGCAAGGTCCATGCTGATAGAGAAAGAAATTCCAGTAATCTTCTAGGCAGAAGCTGTGAATACAGCTGTGTATATACAAAACAGATGTTATATAACATCAGTTATTGAAAAGACTCTATTTGAAGCTTTCATGGGAAGAAAGCAAAGAGTCAAGAATCTAAAGGTGTTCGGTTGCTTGTGATACACTTATATCCCATCATCACTAAGGTAAAATTAGGATAGCAAAGCGAGAAAGGGAGTGTTTGTTGGATATGGTAGCTGTGAGAAAGGGTATAGAGTATATGACCTAAAATATGAGAAGATTGTTCTCTCAATAAGTGTGATTTTCAATGAAGATAGATCATGGAATTGGAAAAAAAATCTGATGAACTAAAACCATTTGTCTCTCAATCTTGAAGGAGGTGAAGTTGAAGGTGAAAATTATGAAGAACACTCTACTACAGCCCAACTTGATAATGTTGAACATTGCCATCCAAATTCTACAGTTAGAGAGTTAACTGAGAATATTGACAGTGCTAACAGTCAATAATCTACACCTAGCTTTACTCTAGTAAAATTGAAAACCTTAGAAGATATACATGCAAGGTGTCACATGTACATCATAGAACCTAAGAATTATCAAGAAGCTTTTGGAGATAAAGCCTAGCAGGAGGCTATAAAGGAAGAATTGGAAGTGATAGAGAAGAATAATACTTGGGAATTGGTGGAGAGACCGATTAATAAACCTATGATAGGAGTGAAATAGGTGTACAAAACTAAACTTTATCTTGATGGAATAGTACAAAAACACAAGGCTCGTCTTGTAGCAAAAGGATATGAACAGAAATCTGGAATTGATTATAATGAAACCTTTGCACCAGTAGCAAGGCTAGACACAATTCGAACTTTCATTGCACTTATAGCACAGAAAGGTTGGAAGTTGTTTCAATTGGATGTTAAGTCAGCATTCCTAAATGGTGTCCTTAAAGAAGAAATGTATGTTGAGCAGCTTGAAGGGTTTGAAGTAAAGAATGCAGGACACAAAGTTTACAAAATAAAAAAGGCCTTATATAGATTAAATCAGGCACCGAGGGCTTGGTACAATAAAATTGATGTATATCTCTCTATGTGCAAATTCAAAAGGAGCACAAATGAAGCTACTTTGTATACAAGGTCAGACCTGGAAGGTAATTTAATCATTGTCTCAGTCTATGTTGATGACATTGTGTACATTGGTAGCAATGAAAGGTTGCTTAGTGAATTTAAAAGAGAAATGATACAGATGTATGAAATGTCTAATCTTGGGCTCCTTTATCATTTTCTTGGCATGGGAATACTACAAACCAATCAAGGGGTATTTATTCATCAAGGCAAATATGTCAAATCCTTTGCTTAGTAAGTTTGGACTTGATGACTGCAAACCAGTCTCCATTCCCTTGGCCACTAGTGAGAAACTGAAGAAGGTGGATGGGAGTGAGTTGGCTAATGAAGGACTTTATAGAAAAATGATATGAAGTTTACTATATTTGACAGCAACAAGTCCTAATCTAATATATGCTGCAAGCTTACTATCACGGTTTATGACTGGACTTACCAAAATTCACATAGGAGCTGCAAAGAAGGTCCTAAGATATGTGCAAGGAACTCTTAGCTATGTGATTGAATACGTAAGGGATCAATCAGCAACTCTTATTGGATTTTGTGATGCAAATTGGATAAGAAGTGAAGATGATAGCAAAAACACTTCGAGCTATGCATTCAACTTTGGAAGTGGAACATTCTCCTAGTCATCTATGAAACAGAACACAGTAGCATTATCAACTGTAAAAACTGAGGATGTCTTAGCATCTAAAGCAACTTCTCAGTCTATTTGCTTATGGTTTGTTCTTGATGATTTTGGTGAAATGCAAATTGAGGCAACACCCTTGTTCTGTGATAACATGTCAGCAATTTCAATGGTCAAAAATCCTGTTTTCCATCAAAAAACAAGACACATAAACAGGAAGTATCATTTCATAAGGGAGGCTCTGCAAAAAGGAGTAATTAATGTGAAGTTCTATAAAAGTGAAGAACAACTTGCAGACATCTTTACGAAAGCACTACCTAAAGATAAATTCACGCAACTAAGGCTTAAAGTTAAACCAGTAAACAGCTTATGAGAGGCTATTGAGAGCTAAGTTGATTACTTGTAGTTGAAGTCTTATAATAAGATTACGCAGATTGTAGCAAGAAGAATGAAAAAATGGAAGGAATTTTATTAAATCAATTAAAGAGGTAGTTAAAATAGTTATCACAGTTATAGTTGGTTTTTACAGTTACAAATCTGTTACAAATTGTTTCTTACATATGTAAGAATCATAACCCTTCATAACCCTCCATTAATAGATAGATGAGATGATTTTGGTTTCTAAAATAGTGGAATTAGTTACACATGGAATGTGTATAAAAGCAGAGCTTGTTGCATTAATTGAAAAAATATACAGAATTTCTTCTCAATCTTCTCCACAAACTTGTTTACAATTTTCTTCTCAATACCTCCAATAAACAAACACATCCTGCTTTAGATATTACAGATAAATAAAACGCAAAAGTAAAAAAAAATCATTGAACAGTGATGATCAAATTAATCGAAGAACAACTTTAAACATTTAAAATTAATGCAGTTCTACATCTCAATCAGTAACTCAACACTACATTTTTTATATATATAATTAGTGCATTCTGGGTTAAAAAGTTGCAAGTTATCTAATTGAACTAGATTAAATTTATAGTTTCACGGTGAATACTCAGGGTTCTGATCTAGTAAGTTTCATGTTAATTACCCTATTAATCAAACTGATTGTCGCTAAAAAAAATTGCATTTGGTTCTATATTTCAAATTCTTCAGGGCTCCAATAGGATTCTGAAAATATCTTGATAATCAATATAAAAACTACACATATGGCATTATGTGCAATGGAGAAAATTGTTCTTCGTTAACACTTTCTTACAAGCATTTTTAGTTTACTTTAAATCTTAATCACAAACATACACAATTTGCTGCAAAAGTGAGGGCATTTGCCTTTGATTACGCATAAGTAATCTGACTGAGGCTTTTATCTGATTAATAATCAAGTGTAGAATATTAAAATAACCTATATGGGAAATGAAAATTTATTGTTTGCAGATGGCAGAAACAAAGTAAACCAAGCAAGAAACGTTAGGCAAAACAGCCAGAGATTATACCTGGGATTCTCCCTTCTCTGATGATAGTTCTAGGCATGACCATTTGTTTCCATAGGTTTGATGGTGTTGTTGGTGATCAAGATGGTCTGTTTCAGTGGCCATTTCCTCTCTCTATGGACTCAACTTCTCTGTACAAATCTCCTCATGTATGAAAAACAACTGCAAAAATATATTAAAAAACCCAGTTAACCCCAAGTCGTCATGAATCATAAGAATCCAAGAAAATGTGTAAAATAGACAGTATATCTTGAAAATCATGGCTTCTTAAGAATCTAATAATTATATTGTACAGAGGGAACACCTCCCAGTATTGTAAACATGTCTTGATGGTGCCGAGGACGACGATGCGTCATGCCTATGATGTTCAGTCTGATCACTCTCCATTTCCACAGCTGAAATTCTCTTCGCTTTTAAAGACAGCAACAACATTAATGGAAGAAGCATCAGATTTCAAAAACCCATGTATCTCTCTGAAATATAAACTAAGACCAGTTAATGCATTTAAGGTTTCCAACCTTTGAAATTCAGCTCGTGTTAAGGACCAAAAATGAAGATTAAGTGGTAACTAACTTTCTTGTTCAAAGATTTAAAACATTTCCTTGTACTCACTGCTTTCTCTCTCTCTTTCTGTGTGGTTGCCAAGAAAAATAAATGGAGGAAAGCTTAGCCAATTAACCAAATAAGAATCTCTTCGAGCATTTATTCATTTTGTTCTGTAGGGTTGGTTGGTTTCCACTCTACATGTATACCTTGCTTGTTACGACTACGAGGGGACATGAAGGGCCTGCTCCTACTGTCAGTCCCGGGTTTAGAAAGTGTTTCAAGCTGCATTTTAAAAGTATTTTAAAACAAAATTTAATGTTTTTTAATTAATATATTTTTTATTTTTTCAAATTATTTTAATGTGTTAATTTTAAAAATAATTTAAAAAAAATTAATATATTTTTTTAAATAAAAAATATTTTAAAAAATAATCATAAACATACTTAAAATTAATTGTTTTGGATTAATATCTTTTTCATGGAGATCTCAGTTGAATTTCAGTTAATTCATGAGTCATCAGTTAAGATGATATTAATCGAGAAGAAAATTTTAAAAATTAAAAATATATTATTTTTAAACAAATTTTTGTAAAAAAATCTTTAAAGTTATCTTAATCAAATCTTTTTTATATTTAACGGGATCAACTAACTAGCTAACGAGCCAATTTACGGAATCATCCACTTTTAATTTATAATAAGTTAATATTATTGGATGGAACAAAGCAGGCATGGAAATGATACATATTTATTACATCTAGCTATGGATTGCATAAACATGATGCCTCCATTTTATTAGCAATATACGGTTTGCCGCGCCCACGTAAAAATATTAAATTAATGTTTTTTTAATATTTGTTAATTATTTTGATATATAAATGTAAGAAAATAAAAAAAATCTAAAAAAATTATTTTAATATATTTTTTAAATATATATATTTAAAAAAAAAACTATATATTATAATATCAAACACACACTTAATAATACTTTTTAGTGATTTTTTTTAACAATAGCTATAGAGGTATAACATGCTAAATTGAATAAGTCAAAACTTGAAATTACAAAAATATTATACAGTGATGATGTTCAAACTTTTTTTCTTCTAAAGTAGTCTTATTTTATTATTGAATGCAAAAATAATTGAACAATGTTATTAATCTTGACCTAGAAGACAATCACAATGCACTAATTATCTCTTTCTTTTCCAGTGTCCTACTTCCCTCCTAATGCCAGGCTATTATTGGACTTAGATGGGATAAAATCCTAAACTAAATTGATGAGTTATTAGATAAATAAGGATTAAATTAAAATAAAAGGTCTTGGGTTTAGTTGGGATCAAGGTTGAGAACCAAATAATAAATTTTAATAGTTTAGGTATCAAAATAAAAAAAAAATAAAAAAAAGAAGAAGATGACATGTGAAGAACATATGCCTGCGTGTGGTTGATAATAGTGACAACATTGTTTGGTAATGTGGTTGCGGATGAGGTTCACTCGTAGCCATATATTTTAATGTTGGTAAACCAAGCAAAACTGATTTTGCTTGGTAGGGTCCACGTCATTTTTGCTGCCCAGCCGCAGGATTGGAGAAGCAGCATTTGCTGCTTCTCGTGGGTATTTTTAGGAATAGCGAAGCCATGCTTCACTGTCACAATATTCAGTTTTTTTTTTTTTTTTGAAAAACCAGTGAGCAAAGTGTTTTTTCCCTCTGAAAAACCAGTGCACCGTGAACAATATTTTCTTAAAAAAAATTAGTTTAAGGTGAATTAAATTTATTTATACTGTGATCTCAATTTTATTCCTAATAATATTTTACCTAATTTTATTGCATGCTTAAAAAATCATGAAAATTATAGTTCTTGTCGAATGACTTTTGTATGTAATGAAATTGTAAATTTTTAAAAAAAAATTATGTTTTACTCGAAAAAATAGTATTTAATATTATTTAATAACACTATATAAATTAGAAAGATATGGCATGATGACGTAACATTTGTGGAATTTGATCTCAATTCCAATAATAAAAATATCACAATTTTTATTATTTAATAACACTACATAAATTAAAAAATTCTGTTTTTGTTGTTGCGCGCTTAAAAAACCATGAAAAATATAATCCTTGTTGGATAGATTTCGTATGTAATGACATTGCACATAGTTTAATAGAATAATAAAAAAAATATTTGATATTAATATTATTTATTTCATGATATAATAACAGTAGTTAAATTTATAATATTTAAATTAAAAATTATTAATATATATATATAATATATTAATTATTTTATAACCTTAATTTAAAAAGTATTTTTTTAACCAAACACATTAAACTACTTTTTGTTCGATCTTAATTTCAATCACAATTTTAATTAAATATATATTTTTTCAAACTAATTTCCACTAAAAATATTTTTTATAAAACAACCTTTTTAAAACTATAACCCCAGTAATAACTCCAATATCAAACACATCCTCAGACATACAACCTTCTTCTTTAATGTTCTTGCAACCATCTCAGCATCAACGTCTTGAAAAGGCAGTCTGCGTAGATGAATTTTCCATGACGTGACGTAGAAGATGTGTTTTTCTTCTTTTCTTTTTTTTTTCCTTTCTTTCTTTCCCGTCTTTAGATTCCACAACCTATTTTTTTTAAAAAAAAAATTATTATTATTATTATTATTATTATTTGATTATTTTACGATCTACAAGTGAATTTAATTTGTAATAAGAGAATGCATTAGTTGAATTGAATTTCTACAACTTTGGCTTGCACATACCATCATGGTTATGAAAGTTTGGCGTATTCTGCACTTTAGACAGTAGGTTGGAAATTCCACATCTCTTTATGAAATAACTCCTAATTAAAGCCTTATACAATACGTATGTGTGTGAGTGCTCAGAAAATAGTACAAACAATTTTTGCTTGTAAGTCACAATCACTAACGACAGTCAACTATCAAACAAATCCTGAATGCTACCTCATCTTCTCTCGTTTTAATTTTCTTCAACTTCCCTTCATATACTTTTATTATTTTACATAAATAGAGACTCAGAGTTCAACCTCCTCCTCCTCCTTATTCTTCTTCTTCTTCTTCTTTTATGATTAGTTCAACGAGGTAGTCGATTGCATTGTTTATTAGAGTACATGAACTTGCTAGGTATACTAATTTGTTTTGTGTATTTACTTTTACATGGATAATGGAGTTTTTGGTCACAATAAATGTGTTTGGACTCTTAGAAATATCATGCAAATTAAGTATCATATAAAATCATGTGCATGTCATCATCTCTTAGAACTTGTGTTATATCACAACTTAAAATAGATTAAAACGAACTGGAAAAAAAAATGTTAAGGATAGCTTGTTAGCTGCAAACTTTTTTTTAAAGTGATTTTCATGGAAAATTAATTATTTTATGATATTTGATAGTGTTATGAAAAATAAATTGTAAAATATTTTCTAGTGTTTGGTTATGTTATGGAAAATAAGTTAAAACATAACTTGTTAATATTTTAATTTATTTTTTCAAGTTTATTAAAAGAATAAAAACTAAAAATTTGACAAATAAAAAAAATTGAGAGGATAAGATTGAAAAAAATAATTTGATAAATTATATCAAATAAAACAAATAGCAATTAAAAGAATGAGAATCAAATCTGATAAATAAAAAAATTAAGAAAAAATAAGAAAAAAATAAAAAAAGATTAGAGTTGATATAAAAATCAAATTATATTATATTTTAAGGGCTACTATTAAAAAATTAAAAATAATTAAAAATAAAATATATTGCAATCAAAATGTTAAGAACTAAATTTGATATAATTAATAGATAATGTGATATTTTTAATTTTTTTATAACTCTTCCAAAATATATTCTATTCAAAATAATATATATATTAAAAATCAAACTAATTTTTTTTACAAGAAAGTAATTTAAATTCACCATTTTCTCTAACACTAAATAAATATAGAAAAGTTTAGAAGATATTTTTTTTATAAAAATCATTTTTCATGAAATGTACCAGGCCTATATAAAAAATAAAAATTGAAAATAAAAGCTTTGAAGGTAGCAGAAAAATAATCAGTTTAGGGTTTTTTTTGTTAAAACAAATATTATATATCATGAGAGAATTAGTTTGCTATCTATTTTGATGAATAGACCATCCTCCTAGTTAGAGTTTTGATTATAAAAAATACACACTTGGGAGAAAAATATCAGGCCTCAAAATTGCTGGACCAGGCCTCATTTGAAACAATACATCCAATAAATATTGGGCCTGGTTCTGGGTCTAGACCTGGTTTTATGATAACTTTTTTTATAAGGTGTGGACCAAAATGTATTAGTGTTGTGTAATAATTTTGTGCTTTAAACCTCTTCTTCTGAAAACAAATCTGTTTAAATTGAATATTTATATCATATGAGAATTTTGAACAATGTGCATTTCATCTGGAATAATTAATATTATAGTAGTGATTTTTTGAAAATATATTTTACTCGAAAATATATTAAAATAATATTTTTTTTAGTATATAAAACTAATTTTTCACATCAATATCTAAAACAATATAAAAATTTAATTTTAAAACGCAGCGTTTCATGCAGTCATCGTTTTACTGACACAAATGCTACGGTCAATGATGAGACAGGCTTCCTTTTTCGCCCTAAAGTCATGCCTGGTTGGCCCATGAAAGATTTGGGCGGCACGTCCTAATCCAACGGAACTTTAGCAAGCATGATTCGACACCAGGAGAAAAGAAAATTGACTTTTCATGGAAAAAGTTAAATATGTTCAAAGAACTATTTTTCTTTCTGCTGCAAATTGTCTTGCAGACTTTCGCTGCACTTGCATGGT